TAATATTGCTCATTGAATTATGGAGTACATGATAGAGTATATATAGGAGAGACTCCTAACACAACTAGGAATAGAGAATGGAAACTAACTAACATACAACATCTACCACAAATAGGATTAGAAAGCTGACTAATAATGAAACACTACCATAACCAATACTACAAGAAATACTATTAATATTATTGTCTAACAATAGTTATCATGGCGCCAAGTCGAGGCACGGTGCTGGGGTGCTGCCAGGACGCCTAGTCGACTAGACAACCGCCTAGGTGACAATTTGACGGCACATAATATAGGAGAATTGTTATACATTAAAAACATTAATATAAATATATCAAATTATATATATATTGTAGCTGATAAAGTTTAAAATTTTCAAATACATCAAAGTTTAACGGCGAGAGTTACTTATTTTAAGTACTTTCTTAAAAAATAAAGTTGGAAAAAAGGCATTATCGACCTAAGTTGGTAATAAATTAAAACCATAATCTTATATAAAACATAGAATGTCAAAAACCATGAATTACGACCTAAATCCAAATGATTGCCCAACTACATTAATCCTAAATTTACAAACGTTCTTATCCAAAGTCATATTCTTGGTAAATGCTTGAATACACAGTGCGGTAATTGATGACAATAAATTTCGGGGAAAGTATATAAATTAAACTCAGAAAAGAGGAAAAAATAGTAGACAAAAACAGTTTGGCCACCCGTGGGACTCGAACCCACGACCACGTGGTTAAAAGCCACGCGCTCTACCAACTGAGCTAGAGCGGCAATTGATAATCATAAATTTCAGGGAAAATATATAAATTAAATTCAAAAAAAAGAGGAAAAATCGAAGTAAACAAAAAGCAAACTTCTTTGCTAAAGCGGCAATCTTTAATCTTTAAGCTTATGTATATGAATTGTTTTAAACGGGAATGATAATTACAAACAAACTTCTTTGCACTTTAATCATTTGAGATTTATCTATCTATTACATTCAATCATATTTGTAAATTCATCCGTACAAAAATGAATCTTGATGTAATTTACACCAAACATTTTATATTTATTTAGTCACTCTAAAATGAGTTTGATATTACGATTTAAGATGCTTAGTTGAAGTTATATCAATTTACTGCAATTTATTTCAATACTGATATAATTAAAATATATTAAACGTACAAATATTCTTGGGGTAGAAGGAATAATAACCATACTTCTTCGAAATGTGTCAACACCATCATATTAACCGAGGCTCGAGTATGTTTTATTAGAGTTGATCATAACATCAACTAATAGTTACACGTCAACTCTAATACAATGATAGTTCTATGAAAAAGCTTGGTATACACTAAATGGTATACCATATTCGTAATGTGGGGTACAATAATACCCCACCTATAATGAGGACCACGTAGGATTTGGGAAAAAATGAGGACCACATAGGATTTGAAAAATGTTCTAATATAAAAAAAAAAGAAATTGTTGCAATTAAATTGTGGGGTACAATAATAATTACACATTAAACCAAACAATTACTATCAATTTTACAAGAGAGCAAACAATAATTTTTTTAAGAAGTAATTATAACATTTTCAACAAAGTTTGTTAGAGAACTTTTTATCATTTAAATTGAAATTTATTGTTTGAAATTCTATTAAGGGAGTATTTATTATTTAATGGTATACAATATACTCTCTCAATCTCAGTATATTTGTCCAATTTGATTTTTTTGAGTAAACTAGAGTATATATTAATATAAAAATGATTTTATTGGATCTATCTTGTCAAAAACATTCAAAATATTATTTCATTCTACTAATATGCATTAAAAATTGAGAATAATTTAAACTCAAAGTTTGTCGAGTTTGACTTAAAAAAAGTCAAACGGGACAAATACACTCTGACAGAAATACTAATCCTATGTTTGGCTCAAGGATTTTGGAAGGAAAAGAAAAGGAAATGGTTTTCTCTCATTTTCCTCACCAAAATGGAAGAAATTTGATTTCCCCCCCACTTGGTACATTTTGTCTCCTCATTTTCTTTTCCTTCCACTTTTCCTTTCTTTTCCTCTCTAACCAAACAAGAAAAATGGTTTTCCATTCCATTTTCTTTTCTTTTCCCTTTCAAATTCCTTGAACCAAACATAGTGTAAAAGGAGAAAGAGGGGAAAGTGATGTGGCGTGAAAAATAAGAGAAAGAGGAGGGAAAGTGAGAGAAAGGACTAAAATTGATATAAAGGGATCACCATTTGTACAAATTAAAAGAAAGGAAAGGTGTTCCCCCAACCC